TTCTTTCTTTCTTTCTTTCTTTCTTTCTTTCTTTCTTTCTTTCTTTCTTTCTTTCTTTCTTTCTTTCTTTCTTTCTTTCTTTTTAGTTATTCTCTTTTTTTTGGGTAGATGGTGTAGACGGTGAGGGTTGGACTCCGCCAAGGTTTCCCTTTGTCACCGATTCTGTTCATAACTTTTATGGACAGCATTTCTAGGCGCAGCCAAGGTGTTGAGGGGATCTGCCTTGGTGGCCTTAGGATTATGTCTCCATTATTTGCAGATGATGTGGTTCTGTTGGCTTCATCAGTGATCTACAGCTCTCACTGGAGCGGTCCGCAGCCGAGTGTGAAGCGGCCGGGATGAGGATCAGTGCCTCCAAATCCGAGACCATGGTCTTGAGCCACGAAAGGGTAGTGTGCCTTCTCCGGGTTGGGGAGGATGTACTGCCCCTATTAGAAGAGTTTAGGTATCTTGGGGTCTTGTTCACAAATGAGGGGAAGATGGAGCGGGAGATTGATAGGCGGATTGGTGCTGCGTCTGCTGTGAAGCGTGCGCTGTACTGGTCTATTCTGGTGAAGAGAGAGCTGAGCCAAAAAGCAAACCTCGTGATTTACCGGTCGATCTAACCCTAACCCCACATGTGACAACAATGCTTCTTCTGATCTAAAAATGGGCCAAAATTATATCATTTGATCTGTCTGTGAAGTTCCTGTTTATGAAATACATCCAACATGATAATACTGTACCATGCAAATGAGAACTGATTTAGTTTATTGAACAAACCTTGAATTGAAAAAGCATTTAGAGAAAATTGAACTTATGCACAGTAGGGCTGGTGTTATTCTTGCATTACTTTGCTTAACAATGTCCAACAGGCTAACCGTGAGGAGGAGGAAGTGAAATATTTCCAGCTCGTTCCCTTCTATTTTTAACTTTTCTCCTTCTTCCTGGGGTAGTAGGGACGTTTCAATGTATTGTTGCTGTTTAATTCAGATCCAGGTTTTTGTCAGATATAAATTTTTTCTGAGCGCTGAAGGACTCATTTTCATTTTCTTCTTAGCTACGTTGTTTTGTTTTTGACATGCAACTCTGTAGGGTTTCTGTCCTCTTTCGGATGGACACACAGAAGAACATCTTTGATAAAATCTGCATGTGTTGGATTTTAACATTTTCTTTATAATAGGAAACACATGGACGGCTCCTCTGCTCTTTAGCAGTTCCTTCTTTTCTGCTTCAAGCCATTATTAATTCAGACTGGTGTCGACATGGTGGGAAAAGAGGCCAGCTTGTGCTCAGGATTCGTACTTAAAGTGCTGCGAGCCAGAAGTTCTCAGAGGACATGATGGCATCAGCCTATCAGTACTGTAACTCATTTTCTCTGTGTCTCAGAGCTGTGGGTTGTGGCTCTGCAGATATCTGTTAGACTCAGAGCCTATGTTTGATGCATTTCTGCAGAAGTTGAATCTTCAATAAAATTGTAACCAAATGTATTATAAAGTTATTTTAATAATTACAGGCAAATAGAGGATATTCCAGCACTTAGTGGTCCAACTGGTGGAATATTAACATCCCATGTGTAGAGGGATCCT